TAATCCCAACAATTGTCATTTAGTGTCTATCAATCAGTCAATTAGCCGATAGGTTTCGGTATCTTTTCTTCCCAACTGACCGGTGCGCTTTTTGTACCACTTTCTCACCATTTCCCCTCCACCCATGCGGTCCGGCGCAGGAGGGATCATGGAGCGTCTGGACACGACTTGGATCCTGGCCAAGGCGGGCGGCTGTGAAAAGACAGAGTCGAGTCCCGCCACGCTGGGTCTGACCAATATGGCCGGCGTGTTCATCATGGTGGCAGCGGGAATCGTGGCCGGCGTCTTCTTGATCTTCATCGAGATCGCCTACAAGCGGCGTCGCGGCGTCAAGGAGAAACAGTTGCGTCTGGCCCGAGCTGCCAGCAGTCGGTGGCGCACCAACATTGAGGTGAGTCGTTGGGACGCCGACCTTTTCCGCTACACCGCCGGGTTGGACGAGCAGTCAGGCTGCAACCCAACCAACTGGGGCCGGCATGATTGTATAGTTTGCTGGTCCGGTGGAAGGAGGATGAGACCCAGACTGGGCCGGCAACTGGCAATCACCGTCTGCGGTATTCGAGCTTAGGGACGGAGGAGATGCGGCAGCGAGACGTGCATGGGCCGACGCATTCAACGTCGTGCACACAAAGGAGGCGACCGTTTTCAAGAGCCTTGTAGCACGAGATTATTGTGAAAAGTTTCATTTGGTATGATGTAAGTAGGTCGTAAGTATGTCGACATGCTGTTTTCCAACGTATCAAAAGTAAACGGGGTCAGTGGTCCGATGCACCACTCCCGAATCGCCAGCTTCCCATTGTGGACGTGGTACGTTGGCACACGTTTCGCCGGCCTCGCCAGTCGGTTTTGCCAGTTTGGGGATCACACTTCAGCTCGTCAGAGGCAAGTGTAGTCAATGTCTTGACCAACTTTCTGCTCAACCGTTGTGCTACCACTCACTCCGTCGCGCTACATCTACCGACCACTCTCTGTCCTCATGGCTCATCACCTCGCGCCCGACTACTTTTGTCTCGTTTATAGTCTTTCTCGAATAGTCTTGACCACAACATGTCGCTCTTCAATTCTACGTTTCAATGTGCCAAGTTGACAGCGCGGGACGAAATAGCAGTTACATAATTTTGGTCTTTATAGGTTGAAGTAAATAAGGGAAATTGTTTGACCTTGTTTTCGCAAATAGGTCATGTTGGTAGGAAGACACACCACGTCCTGAGTCCATTCTATGCATCATCATTTCCAAAGTCGGACCGTGGGGAATGTACCACGTCCACGGTTCGACTTTGGAAATGATGATGCAAACAATGAAATCCGGACAAGTCTTCCTTCCAACATGACCAAGTTGCGAAAACAAGGTCAAACAACTTCTATACCACGGAAGGAGACTGTGACCAGAAAAAAAGGCCACACCCTCTTGGTCTTCATACCTTGGATAAAACACATAGTTTAATAGGAGGTATGAAGACCAAGATGGTGTGGTCT